AAAAACAACTCATTGCTCCCCTGGCAATTGAAAACATGTATTATAGCCCGTGATCCAGGATAAAGTGTAGGTATCTGCTTTGGGAGGGCCCCCTGATCTTTGACAAAGGCCAAAACTCATTCAATGGAGGAAGAGATAGACTCTAAGAAATAGTTCTGGCAGAAAAATGAAATAGGTTCCCTATCTCCCATTGTATACAAAATTAACACAAGATGGATCAAAGACTGAAATGTAAACCTATAAACGTTTTAAAGATTTTACATTTACATCAATAAAAACCAGAGGCACATCCGGGGACCCTAATGCATGGATGCATTGTGTAAACATACTATCTAACATAGCTGAAAACAGCAGAACACACACTAGATGACTAGGACCTTCCAACAAATTAGACAAAAGATTTCTCCCCAAAATAAAAAGAAAACCCATAGGCTGGCAACAGACTATGTTGGACAACAGCATGTTGGACAAGGGAATATCCAAAAATGTATAGAAAAATTCAAAACCTCAACAACAAAAAGACAAACTAACACATGGAAAAAGGGACAGAGGACATGAATAAACATGTCACCGAATAAAACATTCAGACAGTTAACAGGTACATGAAGAAATGCTTGTGATCAATAGCCATTCGTGAGATTCAAATCAAAACAATAATGAAGTATTATCCCAACACTAATCACAAAGTTCAAACAAACAAAAAACACTGGAAAACAAATGCTGGTGCGGGTGTGGAGAGACTAGAACCCTCACCCACTGCTGCTGAAACTGTAGAATGGTTCAACCACTTTTGAAAATAGTATGACACCTCCTTAAAAATTTGGAAATAGAATTACCCTATCATCAAACAATGCCACTACTGGGTATATATCCTAGTGAAACAAGAGCTGCGACAGAAGCACACATGCATATATATCCATGTTCATCACAACACTATTAACAATAGCAAGAAGATGCAAACAACCTAAATGCCCATCAACAAAAGAATGGATAAACATAATGTGGAACAGACACACAAGGGAATATTATTGAACATTAAGGAATAACAATTCATCTACAAAACAATGCAGAACATGGATGAACCTGAAGGACATTATGCCGAGTGAAATTAGTCAATCAAAAAAGGACAAATACCATATGAGATATTTGTATCTATTTTTAAAAATCGTTTTCTTGGGAGATCTTACAGCTCTTATAACATTCCACACATCAATTGTATCAAGCATATTTATACATGTGTTGCCAGCATCATTTCCAAAACATTGAGACCACTATTATAAAAAGTCAAGGAACTGTTTTCACACTAAAAGACATATTCTTTGATGGTTAGCATGGACAGAAAGGAAAGGGAGCCCAAATTACTTACTAAAAGATGTTAGCTGCTCTTGAGTTGGTCTTGACTCAGAGTGACGCTATGTAGAACAGAGCGAAGGAATCTCTAGTTCTGGGCCATCCTCACAATTGTTATTCCGTTTGAGCCCATTGTTGCCGCCACTCTGGCAATCCATCTGATTGAGAGACTGCCTCTTTTTCATTAACCTCCTTTACCAAGCACGATAGCCTTTCCGTGGGACTGTTCTTTCCTGATAACATGTCCGAACAATGTGAAATGAAACCTCAGCATCCTCACATCGGAGGAATATTCTGGCTGTACTCCTCCAGGTTTCTTCTTCTGGAAGTTCATGGTAACTTCAATGTCTTCACTAACATAATAATTCAAATGCATCCATTCTTCTCCAGTCTTTTTAAAAAATTCATTACTAATTGGGAGTTAATACATATACCATATCATTCCATAGTTCAACCATGTCAAGCAGAATTGTACAATTACTACCACAATCAGTGTCCAAACCTTCTTTTTCTTCCTGGACTCCTTGACATCGTCTCCCTTTTACCACCCCCCCTCCTTCACCACTTTACACTCCACCTCACCCCCCAAAAATAATCTTCCCTATAGGTTCACCGATCCTGGGTTTCATATAACAAAACACAGAAAACTATAGAACACAACTTTAAGAGGGTAAGCGCCAATGACAGAGCTCCTATCAGATACACCCTAATATGAACAAACAAAAACAAAACTACAGAAAATGTTGCAAACCAAATCAGGTTCGGCATGCACCAGAGGGGGAATCAACCGACAACATTTTAACTCTTCAAGTCAGAGTTATGGCTTTGAGCTCCTGTTCTCATCTGTCCAATGAACTCTGTTTGAAGACCCACCTAGCTCCCGTCCCTCACTGTGCATAGAGGGAGTCACTGGAGGCTGATTGCTGCTGTAGTTCCCACAGATGAATCTTGGGCTCCCCCCTGTCATCCATAGCCTTCTACAAACCCGATTCTCTCAATTTAAGCTCTGATATGAATCCTTTGGATTACATGATTTACAAACCTTTGGTGACTGATGATGGTGTGCTTCTTCCATGTGAACTTAGTTCACATCTCAGTTAGCTAACTGCTTGTTTGAAGGCAACTCTTTACGAACCAGATGCTATTTTCTCTGATAACTGGGCACCCTCTAATTTCTTTGCCATATGTTGCTATAGCACCCTTATCTTGTGTCCCTTTCCTGAGGGCGTCTTCTCCGGTCTTAATCATGGTCCATTTCCACAAACATATCAAGTGATTGAAAATACCATAATCCTCCATGTGAACTCCTTGCCTTTGAACACTTTAAGGAGGTCTTGTGTAGCAGATATGCCTGGTGCAATATATTGTTTCAATTCTTGATTGCTGCTTCCATGGGTGCTGACTCTGGGTGAAAGGGAAAAGTGAAACCCTTGACAACTTCAATCATTTCTCCATTTGTCATGGTTTTGTCTATCGGTCCAGTTGTGCGGACTCTTGTTTTCTTGACATTGAGGTGTAACCCACACTGAAGACCGTAGTCTTTGATCATCATCGTCAGTGTTTCAAGCCCTCTTTGTTTTCCTCAAGCAAGGTTGTCATCTTCACATCGGAGGTTGTTCGTGAGCCTTCCTCCAATCTGGAAAACACGTTCTGAGTCATCCATTTAGTCCAGCTTCTGATTTGATTTACTTAGCAAACATATTGCACCTTCACCTTAGCCATCACCCTAATCTTGATGCACTGCACACATCGGCTGCACGAGGTCTCTTGAAAGTGTTGAACATCACTTTGAAGTAGTGTGCCTGACCCAGGCCATGGTGTATTGTGTTCTTTGGACATGTTATCCTTCTCTAGAAAAGTCTACCATGCTTGGTCAGCCAAAAAAGGGGAAGACTGTCAAATAAATGGATTGATGCTGTGCCTACAATAATGGGCTCCAACATAAGAATGACAGCAAGGATGACAGAGGACTGGGCATTGTTTCACGATTTTGCATGGAAGGCCAATATGAGTCAGAGCCAACTCAATGGCACCTATCAGCAACATATAGAATGAAAAGTATGGTGAAAGGATACAGCCGTGATGCCCACCTTCCCCAATTTAAACCACACTGTATCCCCTTGGAACCCTGATAGCATGGTGGATTAAGCACTGTGCCAATGACCTCAAGGAAATTTGAGCAGTGGTTTGAACCCACCAGCCCAAGGGAGAAAGAAGAGGCCATTGAGACTATCTTCCCCTGTAAAGACTTGCAGCATCTGCAACGCTCGGGAGCTGTTCGAATCTGTTTAACGGATCAATGTGACAGCAGTGGGGTCTTCTGGAGTGGACTTCCCCTTTTTCTCTTTGAACAACTGTCTCTTGGTCTATTTGCGGGGACTGCAAGCGCATATTTAAATGTTCGTCAATGCAAGAATCCCACCAATGAGCCAGCAGTGCCCCTCTTGGACAATTTGCCTAACTCAAACAAAGTCAATAGCATCAATCCCTTGGAGTACACTACTCTTAGCTTTCCTGTCCCAAAGATAAATCCTTTCACACTAGCTGGCAGCCTTGAAGGGCTGCTTTCAGCCAAACCAGCTTTAGATTGTTTTTGATCAAAGGGACATTTCAAATCTCCTGTAGCAAAAAGTGGGTTCAATAAGACTGACATATCAGTGGATTCTCCAAATTTATTTTTCCTCTTTGTATACACAGTTAGACAGCATATCCCAGCCTCCCCTGCAGATAGGTACTGTGTGTCATATGACAAAGATCTGGCCAATGCATTGTGGGTTGGGATGTTCTCCATCAGTGTTTCTCAAAGTATACTGGGGGAAGTTCTACTCTGTCCTCTAGTGTGACTGAGTTAGAGTCAACTGTCCATCAATGGGATCTTCTTGGTGCCACAATGTTTTAAGTGCTGGATTGCTAACCAAAAGGTTAGCAGTTCAAAGCCACAGGAGAAAGATAAGGCCATAGGTGCCCATAAAGGTTTGTAGTCTTGAAATCCCTATAGAGCAGTTCTACTTTGTCCTATAGGTTCACTACATATCAGAATCAACTGGTCAGCAGTGGGTTTAAGGAACAGCTGTGCCAGCTCATGCCAGCAACTCACGTAGCAGCGACATCTGCCCCCCAAATGCCTGCTGATTCAAAGGACAATCATCTGAAGAGTAAAGTGGGGGTGAAAATTCCAGATGGTAAAGGGGATGACCAAAATCCTCTCCTGGAGAATTCACTGCCATTATTCATTGCTCTCTACTTAGGTTCCAAGAACTTAGCATCTTATCTCCTCTCATTGTCATGATACTCTGGTATGGCGGTTCTTTCGATGCCCCGTTTTCAGATCTGAGGGTCAGAATGGTAAGAATCTTTGTAATCTCCATGGGACAGAGGAGTCCCATAAAAATTCCAGACTACAGAGGCAGCGTAGTTTTCAAATTGCTCAATCTGCCTGGGCTTTGGTATTCTCATCTGGAAATTGGAGGTGCAATGATAAACATCTGACTTTCAAAATAGTATGTGTTCTTATATTTTAGCAACATAGCTCCTCTGTCCCTCCCCCCCACCCACCCAGCAGCAAGGAGATTGGCCTCACCACCTCCCCCATGCATTGACCGAGAGGCAGGGCAGGGGGTGGCGTGGGGACAGGATGGGGAAACACTCACGGAAAAGCACCATGAGGAAGCGGGTCTGGTTCAACATCTGAGTCAGGCCCGCAGACGTCAGCACCAGCAGGTTGTGATCCTCCACGATGTGCAGGGGTTTGGGGATGTCCATGGCGGCCTCCTTGGCACTCATCCCCGGTGAGCCCTGCACAATAGAGACACAAGAAGCCACCAGCAGCAAGGGCATCCAGAGCAGCTCCATGTCTGTCCTGTGGGGGCAAGTGGAGGAACAGGCACCCTTATCAGCACAGGTGCAGGGCCACCACGTGATCACTCCCTCCCGCCAGTGTGTGTGTGTGTGTGTGTGTGTGTGTGTGTGTACATGGAGCAGTGCCTGCCACCTTCCCAGCAGCATCCACAGCTTGGTGGCGGCAGCCCGGAGGAAGAGAGGGCCCAAGGATGAGGTCCCCCTGAGGCCACCACTCAGAGCAGCAGGAAGTGGGACTCAAGAGAGAATCAAGTCACTCAAGACGGCTGCTCCCCCAACCACTGGGGGAGACCTTTGCAGAACTGTGGTCCCACTGCAGAGTTCTCAGGAGAACATCTGCATCGCAGAGATGATGGGCCAATTCCCCATCACAGCCTCTCAGGACCACTCCCGCCTCCCCAAATAATGCTTCTCCAGCTTCTGCTTAAATGCCCCCCACCCCCACCCTCACCCCCGGCAGGGAGCTTACTCCCTTGCCTGCACCCTGCTTCTTTCTGAAGAAATTTTCTTCACAGATGTGAATAGATTCTTGTGTCTTGATTCCATCAGGTGGTGTGTGGGTTGAGGACCACACTGTCAAAGGAAATCGACAACGCTGAGTTGAAAAGGATGGCAGGGTGGGCAGCCTGGCTTGCTAAAAAGCTGCATATAAATTAGTCTGGATCTCAACCAGAGAGCCCTTTACGGTCTCTCGGCCTCCAGGACCCCTGATGAATCCACCAAGTCCAGGGAACAACTAGGAACAAGCCCCTGGTCACCCTTGGCTCTGGTGCAGCATGGTGGCTATTAGATAGAACTTTGGTTTCTAGAATTCATTTTGGTGCATTTGCTAACTTGTTTATTGATTCACTTCCTTGCTAGAGAAACCCATTGAAAGGCCCAGAGAGAGACCGCAAAGCGCTAGAGAGCACATTTTAATGCTACAGAAAGCCACTGGAAACAACTCCTTCCTAGTTATGTAAAGAGAAGGCATTGGAAATCATCCAGAACCTTCTCACAACTTACCACTGGCAGTCCCCCTCAATCTCTTTGGTACCCAGAACCCCATGCCTGTCAGGAGGGGGCCAAGTGTGTACCCTATCCAGGAGCCTCTGGGAAGAAACCCTGAGAGATCAGGTTGTTAGATCCTCTCTGCGGGGCCACATAGCACTTATCAGGAACACAAGGATCCTGAGCCTGTGACCTCAGACCAGCTTCAGGACTTTAAGGAGAATGGCTGCTGCTCCAGCCCAGCCAAGGTGGTGGGTAGACAGCTGATGATCTGTATGCCCTAGGGTCATCAGGGGCTCTGGAGGGCTCCTGTGTGCTCCTGACTCTCTCTTTGATGAACTATTCCCCAGAATTCTTCTCTAGGAGGCTCTGAGAAGGAAGAAACAGGTTTCTTGTTCCCCTGGACAGCTGGAACACGTGTGAATGCTTTGGCCTCCCCCAGGTCTTACTGGGTAAAGATTAAGCCCTCAGGTCTGATGTGGTCAGCTCTGCTCAGTCAACCTTTCAGTGAACTCAACCTTTCCCTCTGTCCTCACTGAACCTGTCAGGATTCCTCACTCACACAACACATAGTGTTGACATCTTCTCTCTCGAACTCACTGCCATTGAGTAGATGCCAACTCATAGTGACCCTACAGAACAGGGGAGAACCGCCCTTGTGAGTTTCCGAGCCTGGAACTCTGTATGGGAGTAGAAAGCCTTGTCTTGCTTTCAACGTGCGACATAGCATTCCAGTCCCAAAGCCTACAGCCGCGAACAGGCATACTAATTCTTGCATCCATGGAATTTCTATTCCAGCAGTGGAACCCGGACAGTGAACGAGCTAAATAGACACAACTGCTAGCATGTCTGCTGCCGCGGAGGAGAAAAAGAACCCAATCAGGGAGATTAGGAAATGACAGGATAAGAGGGGTTTGGGGGCACTTTAAAGAACCCACTGCCACTGAGTCAATCCTGACTCCCAGTGGCCCCCAAGGGCAGCACAGACCTGCCCCGTAGGGGTTCTAAGGATGCAAATCTTAACTGGAGCAGAATACTTCACTGCTCCCCTCCTGGTGGCTGGTAGATCTGAACAGTACCACAGGGTCTAACCAATTATGCTGCCAGGGGCCCTGCATTTTAAATAGGTCTCCCTCTCCATGCTCCCCCATCTCCCTCTCCTCCTACCTCTCCCTCCTTCTCTTCCCCTCCTTCCTTGCCCCCCCTCATTCACTCTCACTCTCTGATGCTCCCGGATCCCTCCCACCTCCTCGCTTTCTCCTTTCCCCTCCCCTTTCTCGCTCTTCCCCTCTCACCCATTTATGCTCTGGCTCAACCCTGCCTGACTCAAACTTCAAAGTTCACACCCCATCTGGTTCAAACTCTACCTCTGCCCCCTGCAGTCAGGCACCATGCCTGACCCTTTGTTCTCTGGGGCACGGACTTCATTTCACCACATTGCTATCTCTCTGGCTCAGCACCGCCCGCCCCCACCTCTTCTGTGGTCCCTGAGCTCCCTCTGTCCCAAGCCCAGGGCTTCCCAGCCCAGCTCCCTTGTCAGTTCTCAGGGCCATGAATAATAGTAGGACACTTGGAACAGCTAAGGAGTCCGGGTGCCAAAGTGGTCAACCGTTCGAGACCATCAGCCACTCCATGGGAGAAAGTAGACTTTCTATTCCTATAAAAAGTTATTATCGTGGAAACCCACAGGGGCAGTTGTGCCCTGTCCTTGGGGTCACGATGAATCAGAATCAACTCGATGGCAGTGAGTTTTCATGAAGGTTTTTATGAAAGAATAGCTAATGTAGGAGCACGTGACTGATGCTGGTGGCCATTGGGCTGATGCCCAAATGTACACCTCCATCTAGCGATTCTCAACCTGTGGGTCGCAACCCCTTTGGGGGCCAAATGAGTCGCCTGATTCCTAACAGTAGCAAAATGACAGTTATGAAGTAGCAACAAAAATAATTTTATGCCTGGGGTTACCACAACATGAGGAACTGTATTAATAAGTCGCAGCACGAGGAAGGTTGAGAGCCACTGCCTTCACCATTCCACCAACTCTCCTCTCCTGGGTCATCACCTTGACCAGCCCTTGCTTTGACTCTTTGATGCCTCCCGTAATTCTTTCCCCACACAGCGATTACCACTTTCTTTTTTAACGTGTAAACTCTATTGCATCACTTCCCTTTCTAAAAGACCAACAGCTTGCCAGCCCGCCCTCACCCTGGTTCACCCTGGCCCACTGCTTCACCCTGGCTCCCCTCTGTGTCCATCTCCTCAATCAGCCACCTGGTCTCCTTCTTCTTTCCCCAAACACACTCTGCGCAGAGCCTGCCCTCTGCCTGCAACATGCTTTCTCTGGTTTTCAGGGGGGTTTGGGTCATCCGGATCACTTACTCAAATATTAGTTTCTCCGGCTGGGGTAGTATGTGTGTGTGTTGGGGAGTGTCTTTACAGTCCCTTATCCCACCCCTTTACTACCTCCAGTTGCTTCATAATTTCCATTATTACTTTCATCTGTAAATGCTTTCCCCTACTGCCTGGCTCAGATTTGGAGCTCAATAAATGTGTGTTGAATTAATGAACTCATTGCCTGATTTAATTCCTACAACAAACCTCCATGGGTCTCAACTATGACTATACATTATAATCCAAAGGGAACGCTTTAATTTTAAAAAGTACTTGATGCCATAGCCCAACCCACTCACTGTCACTGATTCCCCTACAGGACAGAACAGAACTGCCCCTTTGGGTGTTTGAGACTTTAAATCTTTATAGGAGTAGACAGCCTCATCTTTCTCCTGTAGAGTGGTAGGTGGGTTTGAACTTCTTACTTTGTGGTTAGCAGCTCAATGTGTAATGTACAACACACCAGAGCAGCTCCAACCCAAGAAGGTTTCATCTAATTTATCTGGGGTGAGGTGAACCTGAAAGTCTGTTTAAAACCAACCAGCAAACAACCCTAGGCAATCCTAATGTGTAACCATCTATGCCAAAGTCCACACTTAAATTTGTAACCGCTTGGCACGGGGAATGCCATGAGGAAAGGGGCCCCGGTCAGACAGAGTGTTCCTTTCCAGTCAAGCTCCTACCTGGAGGAAGCCTGGTTTCTCTCAGCCTCCCTGGAGAAGCTCCGTGCACTTCAGAGAAATGTTGGCACACAGAACAGGCTTCTGGTGCTGGCTCCTGGCTTCTCCTGGTGTTTAGGGCAGAACCTCCAGGCAGCCTGGCGTTCTAAAGAAATCCACCAGCCTAATGAGGTGCTTCACTCTTGAAGTCACAGTTAGTACAGTTGCAATGTTCTGAGTTCTGGGGTTCTGAGACACCAGGAGTTGCCCCCCCTCCCCTGAGAATAATGGGCATTATTGAGTAAGAGCAATTCCCTTGCTGAAGAGAGTTTTATTCCAGCACAATGGGGCCTAGAGTTTTCATGGAGGACCAGAAGAGCATACTTTGGGGTGCATGGTGTGGTATAGACGGGTCTCGAACTCAGAGCCTATAAACTTGGGCTTTGAATCCCTACTGTGTCCCTAAAGTGCTGAGTTACCGTCAGTGAGCTATTTACCCTTTCTTTGGATGTTTCCTCATTGTGAAACAGCATATAACCCTTGATAGATGACAAATAGATGATAGATGATAGATGATAGATAGATAGATAGATAGATAGATAGATAGATAGATAGATGATACTAGATTGAGATTGAGATGCCCTTGAATATATTGCGACCCATGGTGATCTTACATATCACAGAATTAAATGTTTCCTGGTCCTGCATCATCTGCACGATCACAGACATGTTCAAGTCCATCTTTTTGACCCTGTGCCAACCCATGTGAGCTTTCCAGCATCTTTCTTATGGTGCCATGCTGTGCATTAGCCACGTTGTAGCAGCACGTGGGAGATGATTATGGATAGACAGGGATTTTGATAGCTGGTTACCAAAACCATGGTAGCTTTATGTTAGTTGTACTGGGAATCATTTACACCACAGGCATTGGCAAACATTACAACTTGGGATCTTTTGTGTTGGCTCTTCAAGAGCCTGTTTACCATAGTCGTTACAAGTCAGACTTCAGAGAATAGCAAATTCAGTGTGGCTGGAACAGTGAACAGGAAGTGAAGCAGAGAGAAGAGCACAGAAAATTCTTTGGATCTTTTTCCTCTCCCTACTCCACCCAGCTTTATTTAGGTACCTAAGGCAAGTCAAGAATTATTGCTATAAAAATCATAGAAACATTTATTAGGCAAAAATATTAAAACTTGAAACTATTATTTCTCAATATATCCTCCAGCTAGGTCTTTACTCTTTTTTTTATTCGCCTCATCCTCTTCCTCCTTCCCAAGAATATCCAAGCACACCCCTTATTAGTGATGAGCATTTCCTATCACAGCAGTATAGCATTTGATTGGTAGTTATCCTTTATATTTTGCTGTTGCTTTAACTTTTTGCTATGAATTGTGTGAAGGTTTACAGAGAAAGTCAGTTTTTCATTCCACAATTCATAAGCATTGTGTTAGTCTGGGTACTTTAGAGAAACAAATCCACAGAAACTCATATGTGTTAGTGAGAGTTTTATATAAAGGGTAAGTGCACATCAAGAATACATCCCTACCCATTGCTGCCCAAGCACACAAGTCCAACATTAACCCATTAGCCCATATGTCCAACACCAATCCACAAAGTCCTCCTCCATCTCACAAAACAGACGCAGTGATGCTGACTGCAGGAGGAAAACTGAATCAGTGAACGTGTAAGCACCTCAGCACTGGCAAAGGTCTCCACATGGCTGCTCCAGCATCCAGGGCTGCATCGGAGTAGTTCCATGCAGCTTCTCCTCGGTGATGTCTTGCAGGAAATGAGCCTTGCCAGCTGAAGCAGGGAACTGGCTAAGGTAGCTGCACCCTGGTCCAACCATCACAAAGCAAGAGACCCGAGAACTAGAAAGGCAAGGCTCATTGAGTCATTTATCCCTCCACCCTTCAATTAGCCCCACATGTGTTTATCGGCCAGGTTGGCACAATAAACTAACTACCTCAAACATTTTCTGTTACTGATAGCATTCCCTACCGTTTAACACCATTTATCCCGTTTTCTCCCAGCAATTCCAGTCTCCATGCCTCCTTCTTTCATAACTCTTCTCAACTTTACACTTCGGCAAAGGCTTCCCTTTTGATCTCAAATGCTTGATTATTGTGAGCAGTGTGTACCCCTCTAGTACTATTGTTCCCTGTGTAGAT